TACCAAAGAGCACCAAGGAATGGGAAATTGCACCAAGGCAAATGATCGAGAGCACCAAGGCAAATTATGGAGGACACCAATGTACATGAGGACACCAAAAAAGCAAAATAGTACCCACCTTGTCTGTACAATCCAAGCTTGAAGAAAAAAAAAAAAAAAAGCCCCGTGGCCGCGTCAATTCCGGAACTTTGGTCTGACCAGAGACCGAATATTTTTTTTTTGGCCTAACCTTGCTTTTTTAGTGCCCTAATTTGGCAAAGGTTAACCCCTTACAATTTTTGATTTTTCATACAAATCTGATTTTGCCCAATTTTGCTAAAAAAGCAAGGTTAACCACCTTACATCTGAAATTTTTTCAGAAACATCTGATTTTGCCCAATTTTGCTAAAAATGCAAGGCTCACCCCTTACAATTTGAGATTTTTCATGAAAATCTGATATTGCCCAGTTTTGCTAAAAATGCAAGGTTAACCCCTTTCAATCTGCAATTTTCCAGAAACATCTGATTTTGCCCTAATTGGGCAAAGGTTAACCCCTTACAATTTTTAATTTTTCATACCAATCTGATTATTCCCAATTTTGCTAAAAATGCAAGGTGAACCCTTTACAATCTGAAATGCTTCATTAACACCTGGTTTTGCCGTATTTTGCAAAAAAATGCAAGGTTAACCCCTAACAATTTGAGATTTTTCATAAACATTTAAATTTGCCCAATTTTACTACAAAAAGCAAGGTTAACCCCTTACAATTTGAAATTTTTCATTCACATCTTATTTTGCCATATATCACTAAAAAAGCAAGGTTAACCCCTTACAATCTGAAATTGTCCAGAAAGATCTGATTTTGCCCAATTTCGCTAAAAATACAAGGTTCACCCCTTACAATTTGAGATTTTTCATATCAATCTGATATTGCCCAGTTATGCTAAAAATGCCAACTTCACCCCTTACAATCTTCAATTTTCAAGAAACATCTGATTTTTCCCAATTTCGCTTAAAAAAGCAAGGTTAACCCCTTTCAATCTGCAATTTTCCAGAAACATCTGATTTTGCCCTAATTTGGCAAGGTTAACCTCTTACAATTTTTGATTTTTCATACAAATCTGATTTTGCCCAATTTTTCTAAAAATGCAAAGTTTACCCCTTACAATCTGAAATTTTCCATAAACACCTGATTTTGCCCTATTTTGCTAAAAAATGCAAGGTTAACCACTGACAATTTGAAATTTTTTATAAACATTTAAATTTTCCCAATTTTACTAAAAAAGCAAGGTTAACCCCTTACAATTTATAATTTTTCATACACATCTTATTTTGCCAAAATTTACTACAAAAGCAAGGTTAACCCCTTACAATCTGAAATTTTCCAGAAAGATCTGATTTTGCCCAATTTCGCTAAAAAATGCAAGGTTCACCCCTTTCTATTTGAAATGTTTCATAAACATCTAAATTTTACTAAAAATGCAAGGTTAACCCCTTACAAGCTGCAATTTTCCAGAAACATCTGATTTTTCCCAATTTTGCTAAAATGTAAGGCTCATTGCAACTGTTAAATCAATACATGGAGTGTCCCATTTGACTTTTTTAAAACAAATTATTTTTCCAGTTTTTAGGGTAAAGGAATTTTCTCTTTTTCCTTTCTCTTTTGTTGTTGCTATATTTTGCGAATTAACTCATTCGTATGGAATGCTCATAGTCAATCAAAGAATATTTCACACATAGGGGCCTAAATTATATATTTTTAAATTTATTAGAGACGCATTGATCGTGCTATCATATACCATTCTAATACCATTGCGAATTACTGTATTGTTTGGAATGCTCACAATTAAAGACACGTTATTTGAAAGATGTATAAATAATATTTATATTACAATGTACATCTTTATTCTTTCCCGGTATAATTTATGGCGTTTCTTACGTCAATTGGCAATCGCGTCATTATATAATGATAGTCAAATTGATCAAATGAAACTCCGTTTTGATTATAGTCAATTATGAAATATTCATTGATTTATGACATACACCTTTGTTTCAATTTTGATACTACCCGTAGACCTGCCGAGCAGCTGTAGATATCAAACTAAACCAAAGTATAAAAGATAGAGGGTAAAAAAAATCAAAAAGTTATGTGCTAGTCAAGCTTTCAGGGATCGGTCTGAGCCACAACAATGCCCCAGCCGATCCCTTAGTTCTCTTCCGGGGTCTCGGCGTCCCCGACCAATACACAATTAAATCTCTAATAGTGAATAATTGAACTCATACGTTAAAAACCAAAAAGACACCAGCGGGATTCGAACCCGGGACCCCGCTAACCGTGGACGACGAATCGTAACCACTCGGCCATTTCGTTACCTTAGAATGTTACTTAAACTGAGAAAAGTTGTCTTTATAGGTGAGCAAACGCGCCAGGAAGATTACATGGTCCATTTGCTTTACCTTAATGGGTAAAAACAAGTCGATATAATGAGCCCAGTGTGTTTGGTTTGTTAGGAAGCTGCATAACACAGCCTAATGTGCAAAACAGTGGTGTGCTAGGCGGATCATTACGCAACAATGAACCCCGCAATTGTGTATTTTCAAAAGGCAGACGCGTAGATTTCTACTCTTTGTATCTGGGCACATATAGATTCCCACCTCCCTCTTCAGCTATTTCGACTTTCTTAAAAAGAAAAATAGAGACTGTCAGCGAATCTCCGGGAGTTGAAATAAGGATCGTCCCCTCGATAGACCTCAGACTCAGTAAAGTTCAACATTGGGGTCTTTTTCAACAGCTGTTTTTGCGGAAACTTTACATCTGGATTTTTTAGAAGCATCTGATTTTGCCCAATTTTAGTAAAATATGCTCCAAATTTTGCTAAAAAAGCAAGGTTAACCCCTTACCATTTTAGATTTTTCATACAAATCTGATTTTGACAAATTTTACTAAATATACAAGGTACACCTCTTACAATTTAAAATTGTTCATAAATATTTCTTTTTGCCCAATTTTGCTAAAAAAAATGCAAGGTTAACCCCCTTTAACAATTTTTTTCATGAACATCTAATTTTTCCCAATCTTATTCAACAAGCAAGGTTAACCCCTTACAATCTGCAATTTTCCAAAAACATTTGATTTTTTTCCCATTGTCGCTTTAAAAAATATTGCGAGGTTAACCCCTTTCAATTTGAAATTCTTCGTAACATCTAACTTTGCAAAATTTCACTAAAAAAGCAAGGTTTATCCCTTACAGCTTAAATTTATCGGAAACATCTGATTTTGCCCAATTTCGCTAAAATATGCAATGTTCACCCCTTACAATTTGAAATGTTTCATAAACATCTAACCCCATACAATCTGCAATCAGAAACATCTGAATTTTTCCGATTTTGCTAAAAAAAATGCAAGGTTAACCCGTTACAACTTGATTTTTTTTCATAAACATCTAATTTTGCCCAATTTTACATCAGCTTATGCTAACAAATTATCAGGTAACTGGATCATTAAACGGGACAGGTGCACATCGGCCTTGGAACTCAGACCATGTGTCATGCACTCCTCAATGCATAGATGATGCACATAGCACTATGGTAGTACAGGCACAGCTGGGGGTACTGCCCAAACAATGATGAACGCATTGCGTATGCTTAAAGAATTACCCACAATTCCGGTTTTTACCGTTTAGGTCTGGCTCTAATCAGTTTACGCGATCCCCTGACGTCTTATACACTGCCTTTAGGCAAAATAGTCAGACTTTCGCAGTCTAGTAACCAGACTTTGACTCTTAACGAAACATCGAATGAAAAGGGAAATATCAAATGCATTGCAAAAGATCGAATGCAAACATACCGATAAAACATCGAATACAAATAGCTCGAATTGTCAAACATATTTGTGAAACATTGCTCACATATTTGAGAATATCGCAAATATATTGTAGAACAACACACACAATTGTATCGAAAAACTTTGCACATTTAATGCAAAAAATCGAACATAATATTGAAAACATCGCACATATAAATCGTCAAAAACATCGCACATATAAATTGAAAAACGCATATAAATGTAAAACATCGCACACATATATAGAACATCGCACATATATTGTAAAACATCGCACAAATATATTAAACATCGCGCAAATAATGAAAAACATCGCACACTTATATTGAACATCGCACATAAATGTAAAAGATAACAAACACATATTGAACATCCAACATATATATTGCAAAATATTGAATATTGCAACGTTTGACACGCCATAACTGACAGAGTACGCTCTTTTAGGTTTTTTAATTTGACGACAATATAATTGTCATTTTTTTGGTTGACATTCCCTATTAATTATAGAAATAAAAAGCGGAGGAAAAAAAATTGGACACTGCGGGCCAACGAATTTGTGTTCACATGAGCCACGTGGTTGTGCCATGTAATTTCTGGAAGTAGCAGTGTTTGGAGTTTAAACATAAAACCAAGTCATTTGAGCTGTACGTTGAGCTGCTATTATTATTATTATTATTATTATTTATTCGGCCAACAAATGAACAAAAGTACAATGACAAAGCAAATAAAAAGTAAAAAGTAAACAAAAATTGGAAATTGGAAACGGTCAGACCAGACAAGACTGAAGAATGCGAGTAGGAATGGGTCGGGGGAGGGGGGGGGGGGGGGGGGGGAGGGTGGACAGTTTGACAGGGGAGAGGAGATAGAGGGACAGAAAACAAAAACAATATAACATTCCAAACCGGCCAGGGTAGACAAAAGTGTACTAAAACACTGTAGCCCTAAGGCCTGCCAACCCATGCTCAAAATGTCTACACAAAAATTAAATAGCATCCCGCAGCTAAAATGGTTCATCTTTAGTACCACGTAATATTATAATATTTTAGCGATCATGATAGTGTACTCATGAGTGTAATCGTCTGGACTGGATGGATAAACCTAGTACTGAAGAGCACTGCATGCACCACACAGCGATAACCCGCCGCCGCGAGAGGGCGCTATCACGACCAACCACTATTGCTCACCGTAACCCGGCGGAACATCCAACCGCGCCTGCCAACCCATCCAACCGTCTGCAAAATGACGACCGTTCAAAGGCTTGTGTTATTTACGAATGACCAAGATAATGTTCCGTATTCAGCATGAATTTATTTATATCAACTAGCGAGGCAGCTTTTGCACTCTCTTGTAAATCTGGTATTTGTTCCCAATATACAGGGTTACAGCTCATGATGCAAATAGTTTACTGCAGCAATGGAATTAGTCATCACCGCCTGTAATCAGCGGGACATTTAAGTAGCCTAAAAAAAAACACGTTACTGCATGGAGGAACATTTTCCAGTCCTACAAATCATCATTGGGTTTGTGGGAAGCCAAGAGCTTAACTTTGTTTCATTTAGCTGCATTGCCAATTGGCACATGTAATATTTTAAGGATTATATGCGTTTGTCTTTTCGTATCATGCTTAAAACGCTGGCAGCGACCAATAAAATGTCGGCTTCACCGTTCTAGTTTTCATTTGCAAAGCTAAAAAAAAAAAACCTCCGCTTTCTGTCACATGAACTTAATCGGACTTGGACACGAAGTCATGCCAGGCCCAATACAATCTTCATGTCATTTGGAAATTGAATCATAACTACTGTTTTATCAACTGCTTTTAAAAATATGTTAAATTTATTATAAGGTGAACTTATTTTGTCCACTTTTTAACCCCTTAAGGACGGGGTGTAATGGGGACATTCCTCCACCCATAGAGCAAGTGGCCCGCATGACTGCACAGCCTTTGCGTGGTAGCGGGACTGCACAAAAGCAGCAGCTGTGGAACTACCCACTAGCCGTGTGCCACGGTATACCACAGCTGGCAACTGCATTCCAATGAGAATTAGCGGCCGCGGCCATGACCGCTTCCCGTGCGCATGGGGTTAAAAACCATCACAAATCTGCACCAACATCTGCCCATGGGGACTTGTTATTTATATGCAACTGTTCTCGTTGGTCAATGTCAACCGTCGTGGTCTTCAGTTATTTATTACTGAATGGTTCACCTAATTCAGGTATTCTATAGTTATTCCTTCATCGAACTATCGTGTTCTGTTGTTATCTATATGGTGCACCTCATTCAGGTTTTGTTACTATTCTGTCTTCGAACTGTCGGGGTTTGTTGGTGTTGAAGCGACGGGTTCAATTCATTCCAGCTTTGCTAATTATAACTGAGTCTACAAAACGTCGTTTCTGTTGATGATTATCGTTCCCCCACTCCGAATACAAATTGTAGCATACACATGATTCTGTAGCTCAGAGTAGCTGATTCAATGACTCCAAACTCGAAAATTATGTTTAAATGGTAATCTTTTGCCAAAACAAATTGGTTAAATTGGTCGGAAATTGCCTATGGATCGCACCACAGAGCGTCTAGAATCCATTTCCCCCGGAGCCCTTCAGCTGTCCCGAACCCCACGCCGTTAGGACTTTGTGCTTCGCGCTCGCTATAGCTCGCTATAGTCAAGTGTCCACCCCGCCCCCCCCCCACTTTTGAGAAGCGATTGACGCCCTTGTCTGCTATTAATATTCCGAAATGCTGACATCAAACGTTTATCAGGCATTGTAATAACAAACTGTGCAAGATTGTACTAAAACGGTTTGCATACCCTAGTTTAATTCCAATTTAGCCACAAATGCCAAATGCAATTTAACACAATACCATCTGATTAATAAAAAAAGAAATAGTAGCCGATACCGACAGTAAAAAGTAACTTCGGGTAAAAAGAAGAAGAAGTAAATTCGGACAGCTTTGGGATGATAGTAAAGGGGTTGGGGTCGGGACTACGATTGATGGTGTTTGGGTTCATACGATTAGGGCAAGAGTAAGCTTTCACTTTCAAGGAAATTCCCTCATTTTTAAGGAACATTTTACTTTGGAAGGAATTTCTAAGGAAATGGAAACAAATATCAAATTTTGAGGAAATCCCCTAAATCTAAAGGCTAAGGAAATTCATAAATTTGAGCCAATTCTACAACATTCTTCAGGAATCATATAAGAATTTGCCCTTCACCGACATATAAACACTGTACTTGTGCAAGCTATCAGAAATAATTATATATAGGCCTATATTGCAATTAAAGTATTAATAATGAGTATTAACGATGCAAACTATCTTAAAACAACATTCGCAGGTCAGGTGCGATTCTCTTATGCTACCCAGATCTCAACTTTTAAATATTCCCCTTTTTTATCGTAATTTACTTTTCCTCAAAATTAAGAAGAGACTGTTTCGAACCTGTTTTGTGGCCTGACAAATTTCTCGTAATTCCAAATTTTGAAACAACAGGTTTTCTGTGTTTCCTGATATTCGCAAGGAACTCAAAACGTTTCCTTTGTACAATCTCCCACCATAATCAGATGATTTTTTAATTAGTTTTTTTTTTTTTCCCATTGAGAACCGCAACTGGCATAATGTGCATACCCACCACCTCAGCAAACGATAACCCATTATCCTAAAACAAACATCGAAAATGTTGTCATCTAAAACGCCAATATTTTCGTTTGAAGTATTGTATCTGTGGCTGAGCCCAAACAGTACAAATCGTCGGTTGTATCTGGTCCTCCGAGTTAGTGCGGGGCGCACTAGTTGCTCTGGTAGCACCTTCCTCTGTATCGAGTCCCATCCGCAGTTCTCGCATGCACACGGCAGTAATAACCGGAAGGACAGGGAACGTCGGTTGAGCAAGCTGAAACCCCGCTTGACCCTGAAATAATTGCAATAAATAGCGGGAAAAAGGTTAAAGAATGCCCGGCCTTCTGCTTCTTCTGCTTTATTTATGACTGGGCTCTAGTGCAGCACAAAGCCATGCATGTTGGGGGGGGGGACAGTTTGATTCTAATTATGCAGATGGAATTTGGTGATATGACAACAGGGTCTGGTAAAATATTCCACTCTTTGATGGTACGAGGAAACTGTGACGACCTATGAAAGTTCAGTGGCAGTTGAGTGGAACTTAGTATAGCTGCGTTGGTGCTGTTTTGAGTGTCGTTGCGGCCTTGTCGGGCAACTGAAGTCAGGTACCAGTCACTGGGTAAATATATCTACCAAATCACAGATGGTAGACGATTCACAAGCTCACAAGCGGTTGGCTTTGTTATGTAGAGGTCGTTCACAGTCACCAAGCATGAAAGGCATTTTGTTGGTAGATTAGACCATTTCCAAGTATCAGCGGGAACGCCTGACATTTTCGGAAAGGGGCAGCTATATACTTCCTACTCCCGTTATGGCCACGTGCAGCGCCTATCCGCAGAGCCACTTCTAACACTACGGCTGCGGTCCTCATCCTCAGCTTGAGACTTACCGTAATGACGCCTTTCAGGACCGGGTGGTGCTGGTGGAGCTGGTGGCGCTTTTGGAGCTGGTGGAGCTGGTGGAGCTGGTGGAGCTGGTGGAGCTGGTGGAGCTGGTGGAGCTGGTGGAGCTGGTGGAGCTGGTGGAGCTGGAAATAGAGAAGAAGACAAGGTTTGTCAAACCACTTTGACCGATGATTTGTGTTCATTGATGGACATCTTTTGGTCTGGGAAGCAGTGTACAAAATGCTGTCACTACGGAAATTGACCAACGGATACGTGAGCGGGTGAGATCGGAGACGGATGAGATCATCGGGCCCATGGTTTATAGGAAAAAATTATTCTCCACATTAGGCGACTGTCAAGTGAACAAGCTCGAAATGATCTCGGAAGCTGCGGATCAACGCATTGTTTTCATATGCATGCGTGACGTGATTGTGCCATGTAATTTCTGGAAGGAGTGCAGTACAATTTAACATCAGTTTTTCGACCCTAGCATGCCTAGTCGCCAAATGTTTCAGTACTAAGAATGCCTTGGCCTTCTGCTTCTTCTGCTCAATTTATGGCTGGGCGGGCTCTAATGCAGCACAAAGCCATGCATGTAGGGGAGGGGGACAGTTTGATTCTAATTATGCAGATGGAATTTGGTTATATGACAACAGGGTCTGGTAAAATATTCCACTCTTTGATGGTACGAGGAAACTATGACAACCTATGAAAGTTCAGTGGCGATTGTGTGGAACTTGGTATAGCTGCGTTTGTGCTGTTTTGAGTGTCGGTGCGGCCTTGTCGGGCAACTGGGGTCAGGTCCCAGTCACTGGGTAAATAATCTACCAAATCAAGGATAATAGACGATTCACAAGCTCACAAGCGGTTGGCTTTGTTATGAAGAGGCCGTTCACAGTCACCAAGCATGACAGGCATTTTGTTGGTAGATTAGACCATTTCCGAGTATCAGCGGGAACGCCCGACATTTTCGGAAAGGGGCAGCTACTTCCTACTCCCGTTATGGCCACGTGCAGCGCCTATCCGCAGAGCCACTTCTAACACTACGGCTGCGGTCCTCATCCCCAGCTTGAGACTTACCGTCGTCAGACGTTTTAAGACCGGGTGGAGCTGGTGGAGCTGGTGGAGCTGGTGGAGCTGGTGGAGCTGGTGGAGCTGGAAATAGAGAAGAAGACAAGGTTTGTCAAACCACTTTGACCTATGATTTGTGTTAATAGATTGACATCTTTTGGTCTGGGAAGCAGTGTACAAAATGCTGTCACTACGGAAATTGACCCAACGGATACGTGAGCGGGTGAGATCGGAGACGGATGAGATCATCGGGCCCATGGTTTAAAGGAAAAAATTATTCTCCACATTAGGCGATTGTCAAGTGAACAAGCTCGAAATGATCTCGGAAGCTGCGGACCAACGCATTGTTTTCATATGCATGCGTGACGTGATTGTGCCATGTAATTTCTGGAAGGAGTGCAGTACAATTTAACATCAGGTTTTCGACCCTAGCATGGCTAGTCGACAAATGTTTCAGTACTAAGAATGCCTTGGCCTTCTGCTTCTTCTGCTCAATTTATGGCTGGGCGGGCTCTAATGCAGCACAAAGCCATGCATGTAGGGGGGGGGGACAGTTTGATTACAATTTTGCAGATGGAATTTGGTTATATGACAACAGGGTCTGGTAAAATATTCCACTCTTTGATGGTACGAGGAAACTATGACAACCTATGAAAGTTCAGTGGCGATTGTGTGGAACTTGGTATAGCTGCGTTTGTGCTGTTTTGAGTGTCGGTGCGGCCTTGTCGGGCAACTGGGGTCAGGTCCCAGTCACTGGGTAAATAATCTACCAAATCAAGGATGGTAGACGATTCACAAGCTCACAAGCGGTTGGCTTTGTTATGAAGAGGCCGTTCACAGTCACCAAGCATGACAGGCATTTTGTTGGTAGATTAGACCATTTCCGAGTATCAGCGGGAACGCCCGACATTTTCGGAAAGGGGCAGCTACTTCCTACTCCCGTTATGGCCACGTGCAGCGCCTATCCGCAGAGCCACTTCTAACACTACGGCTGCGGTCCTCATCCTCAGCTTGAGACTTACCGTAATAACGCCTTTCGGGACCGGGTGGAGCTGGTGGAGCTGGTGGCGTTTGTGGAGCTGGTGGAGCTGGTGGAGCTGGTGGAGCTGGAAATAGAGAAGAAGACAAGGTTTTTCAAACCACTTTGACCTATGGTTTGTGTTAATAGATTGACATCTTTTGGTCTGGGAAGCAGTGTACAAAATGTTGTCACTACGGAAATTGACCCAACGGATACGTGAGCGGGTGAGATCGGAGACGGATGAGATCATCGGGCCCATGGTTTATAGGAAAAAATTATTCTCCACATTAGGCGACTGTCAAGTGAACAAGCTCGAAATGATCTCGGAAGCTGCGGACCAACGCATTGTTTTCATATGCATGCGTTACGTGATTGTGCCATGTAAATTCTGGAAGGAGTGCAGTACAATTTAACATCAGGTTTTCGACCATAGCATGCCTAGTCGCCAAATGTTTCAGTACTAAGAATGCCATGGCCTTCTGCTTCTTCTGCTCAATTTATGGCTGGGCGGGCTCTAGTGCAGCACGACGCCATGCATTTTTTTTTGGGGGGGGGGGCAGTTTGATTCTAATTATGCAGATGGAATTTGGTGATATGACAACAGGGTCTGGTAAAATATTCCACTCTTTGATGGTACGAGGAAACTATGACAACCTATGAAAGTTCAGTGGCGATTGTGTGGAACTTGGTATAGCTGCGTTTGTGCTGTTTTGAGTGTCGGTGCGGCCTTGTCGGGCAACTGGGGTCAGGTACCAGTCACTGGGTAAATATATCTACCAAATCACGGATTGTAGACGATTCACAAGCTCACAAGCGGTTGGCTTTGTTATGTAGAGGTCGTTCACAGTCACCAAGCATGACAGGCATTTTGTTGGTAGATTAGACCATTTCCGAGTATCAGCGGGAACGCCAGACATTTTCGGAAAGGGGCAGCTACTTCCTACACCCGTTATGGCCACGTGCAGCGCCTATCCGCAGAGCCACTTCTAACACTACGGCTGCGGTCCTCATCCCCAGCTTGAGACTTACCGTCGTTAGACGATTTAAGACCGGGTGGACCTGGTGGAGCTGGTGGAGCTGGTGGAGCTGGTGGAGCAGGTGGAGCTGGTGGAGCTGGAAATAGAGAAGAAGACAAGGTTTGTCAAACCACTTTGACCTATGATTTGTGTTAATAGATTGACATCTTTTGGTCTGGGAAGCAGTGTACAAAATGCTGTCACTACGGAAATTGACCCAACGGATACGTGAGCGGGTGAGATCGGAGACGGATGAAATCATCGGGCCCATGGTTTATAGGAAAAAATTATTCTCCACATAAGGCGATTGTCAAGTGAACAAGCTCGAAATGATCTCGGAAGCTGCGGACCAACGCATTGTTTTCATATGCATGCGTTACATGATTGTCACGGTGCCATGTAATTTCTGGGAGTGCAGTACAATTTAACATCAGGTTTTCGACCCTAGCATGCCTAGTCGCCAAATTTTTCAGTACTAAGAATGCTTGGCCTTCTGCTTCTTCTGCTCAATTTATGGCTGGGCGGGCTCTAATGCAGCACAAAGCCATGCATGTAGGGGGGGGGGGACAGCTTGATTACAATTTTGCAGATGGAATTTGGTGATATGACAACAGGGTCTGGTAAAATATTCCACTCTTTGATGGTACGAGGAAACTACGACAACTTATGAAAGTTCAGTAGCGATTGTGTGGAACTTGGTATAGCTGCGTTTGTGCTGTTTTGAGTGTCGGTGCGGCCTTGTCGGGCAACTGGGGTCAGGTACCAGTCACTGGGTAAATATATCTACCAAATCACATATGGTAGACGATTCACAAGCTCACAAGCGGTTGGCTTTGTTATGAAGAGGCCGTTCACAGTCACCAAGCATGACAGTCATTTTGTTGGTAGATTAGACCATTTCCGAGTATCAGCGGGAACGCCCGACATTTTCGGAAAGAGACAGCTACTTCCCACACCCGTTATGGCCATGTGCAGCGCCTATCCACAGAGCCACTTCTAACACTACGGCTGCGGTCCTCATCCCCAGCTTGAGACTTACCGTCGTAAGGCATTTCAGAACCGGGTGGAGCTGGTGGAGCTGGTGGAGCTGGTGGAGCTGGTGGAGCTGGTGGAGCTGGTGGAGCTGGTGGAGCTGGTGGAGCTGGTGGAGCTGGAAATAGTTAAAAAGACAAGGTTTGTCAAACCACTTTGACCTATGATTTGTGTTCATAGATTGACATCTTTTGGTCTGCGAATCAGTGTACAAATGCTGTCACTACGGAAATTGACCCAACGGATACGTGAGCGGATGGGATCGGAGACGGATGAGATCATCGGGCCCATGGTTTATAGGAAAAATTATTTTCCACATTAGGCGATTGTCAAGTGAACAAGCTCGAAATGATCTCGGAAGCTGCGGACCAACGCATTGTTTTCATATGCATGCGTGACGTGATTGTGCCATGTAATTTCTGGAAGGAGTGCAGTTCAATTTAACATCAGGTTTTCGACCCTATATCACCCAGTTTTCCAGTACTTGTATAAATACCTGCGCCTGACGTTTGTTACTAACTAAAGAACTAACGAACCATAACGGACACGACCATTTGTTAAGCTGCCGTTCCGCAGCTAAAAACAAGAGTTATAATTATACCGTTTTGTGCCACTTACATCTCTCCATATGCTCTAAGTATCTGTCCTCCAAGTGTCGGTCCTTAAAGTATCGGCCCAGGAGTTCGCGCAGTTCAATCAACTGGTCTTCAACATCTCTCTCTGGGAACCAAATCAAAAAAATTACGACTATACAATCTAACTGATAAATGATATTGCAATGCATAGTTCAGGGTCGAGACACATATTACAGGGTGTATCCAAAAAAGAAAACTCGTATGTAAAGTAAATTATAAAAATAATCTTATACATATTTTCAAATAAGTTATAGATCACGTCAAACTCCAATGTGTCCTCTTTCTATAATACCTTGATTGCGTGACATTTCTCTGCCCACGGACGACTGAGCATTCATTGTTATTCTGTGAAGGGCCAAAATCTGTACTGGGCCAAATTTATGCACAGGGGTAACCGGTATTCTGGGCATGTGGAACGGCTTTATTTAAAGACAGATGAGATCCAGGCCTTTTCTTAAATACAATGTGTTCAATTTTGACACAGTGATTTAACCACTCTCAGTGTTGAAGTGTACCCCTCATGGCCAAATGCATTCAATGTGGCCACCACCTCTTTCCACATAAACCTCTGCACGATGACTATAGTCCATTTCAACGTTTGCATATCAAACCAGTTAGCAAGTAAAACTGACCCAGTACAGGTTTTGACACGACGAAATAACAACGAATGCTCAGTCATCCCTGGCCACACACACAATCAAGGTATCATTGGAAAGAGGACGCATTGGTGTTTCACAATGATCTTTAACTTATTTGAAAACATTTCTTAGATTTGTGTTATACTTTACTTATATTTAGGCCTACATCTGGGTTTCATGCATCTTATGTTATTGGATAAACCCTGTATGAATACTGACTCGCTACAGTTTATTGCCCATGCCCACGTGAGGATTGTGAACGTTCGACCAATAAAGGTTACTGACACTGGATTTCATGCATAGGCCTATGAGTCCAAATTTCATGTGACACTGGAAAGTGTTCAAGACCGGCCAGCCGGTCTTTATCAACCGTTTTAAACTGACCACGTGACGGGAACTCAACCACTAGGAATGGGTAAACTGTCTCAGGTATTTATAAATAAAAATTGTAACAACTGATTTCGTCCTTGAAATTTCTACCTACCAGTATGGAATGCGGGAAGTAACGATCAACACAATACGTGCACATACCTTTACGAAGTGCCATGGCAAAGACGCAGCTCAGGCACATCAACAAAATCAGACCGGTGTATCCCTTCATATTTTTGCTGATTTCTTTCTGAGAATCAATAGTAATAGAAATAAAATGTAATTTGATACAAGTTTTTTGTTATCGTACAAAATATTGACTCAATTTATCCATTGGCTCCTAACCAATAATATTAACAAAGTTCAAAACAAGTAACATGAAATGCTTCAGTGTTGCTGTTATAACAACTGGGCTGGATTATCACTTGACCGCAAGCAGAAAGTTCAGCAGTATTAAATTCTGGACACTTTCGCAAATTCCCTTGTGTGCAACCACAAGATACACTCTCAAAACATGTATTGACACGTGGTTGGTTTGAAAAAAAGTCGGTTAACATTTCTACTAACGATTAAAGTGTACATTTTTCCAATTTGACCAATGATGGGAACGTTTTAGCCAACGTTGAATAAAATTGGTTCATTTTTGTAACCAAATTTTCAACCAACTGTTGTGTTGTTCACCTGGTAACCAACGGTTGGTTAAAACAATTAAATTTACCCAATGCATCTGGTTAAATTTGGTTAAATGTAATCAACGTTGGGTAAAATGACTAATTTTACCAACCGTTGGTAACCATGTGAACAACACAATTAACAGTTGGTTACAAAAATATACCAACTTTAACCAACGTTGGGTAGAATGTCCCTAACATCTATATATATAAGAGAGAGTTTAACTCGGCCTCCGAGACGATGTTTGCTCATGAAAGGATCCGAGACCGCGGGCTCCCGCGGCGCCAAAATCGCTCCACGTCCGTGGAAAAATACGGAGGGTGTCTTCCGCCGGGTCGGACACTTCGGGTCGTCCTGATTTTCCCGTACGGACCGGCGATCCTTTTCGTCTATTTTTCGTGACTGCATTTTGCACAGGAATTTGCCGTCGTGTGCGCTTTCACGTTGACTGCCTGGCCGCCCCCTGTGCTGGCTTTTCTGCGAGTCTAGACTGTGCGAGGTCAGCGAGGTCAACCTAGGGGTTTCGTTTACGTGTTCTACTCAGCCGTTCTGCAAAAGCGTTCACTAAATTGTGGATGGGGTGACCTTGGTAAAATATTTTTTCTCCATGGTGCGTGGCCACCGAGTGCCCCTATTCTTTCATATGCTTCGCTTGCCGCCCCTGCGCCGAGTGCAACGAATACTCAGAAGGACTACACATTAAGTATGCCTTGCGCGGTCTGACCAATCGAAAGTCTACACTGCGTAGTATTTCCGGGCTATGCAAAACTGTCGATGGCAACGCGTACTGCAGCCTGCTCCACACCCTGAAAACGAGGTTGGGTCTGCGGTGCTCGCTATTTGCATGATTTGAAGCACAAGCATGTGAGTGACGTGTATAGTGCTCTGTTGCTTCCATCGTGTGTTAATACAGCTCCATGCTTCCACCAAGGCTGAGCGTTGTGAGTTCGCTGCCCGCCACATGTGTTGCGTTATAATTTCGGGGGCCTGTCTGGGATCAACGAAGGATTGATGCATTGCTTCAAACATCGCGATCTTAAACGCAGTCACACAAAAAATCAACGAAAATGTGTCCGATCCGGCGGAAGACACCCTCCACATTTTTCCACGGACGTGGAGCGATTTTGGCGTCGCGAAAGACCGCGGTCTCAGATCGTTTCAGGAGCAAACATTTCTCGGAGGCCGAGTAAAATTTGCTCTTATAATGGTTGCCCCAAGTTGAATAACAGTTGACTCGACAAGTTCCTCGCAGACAGTCTCGCAAATTGTAAGACGTTCACGTTTACGTTTGTTGAAGAGTCCAATATACTGAAACTTAATTATGACCTTCTTAATCAGCCTTCGCCTGTGTACTACGGCAAGCCTTTCAAGTACGTTTTCTCACAAATGCCACTGCCTCACAAAATGCCAATTTAACAGACCAACGGGAACATTTACAGACTGTTGCCATGGTACATAATTATCATGGGCGTCAATCGGTGGGGGACGGGGAACCCCTCCCCCCCCCCAATTTTAAAGCAGTGGAGACTTTTGGGGTCCCCTCCCCCCCCCCCCCCACTTTTCTTCCCCAAATAAAAATTGTAGCTACTACATGTATAATGATTCTATTACTCAGAATAGCTGATTCAATGACACCAAACTCGAAAATGATGTTTAAAAGATGATCTTTTGCTAAAAAAAATTGTTTTAATGGTCAGAAATTGCCTCAGATCGCACCACAGAAATTGCTTTTCTATAACTGCATGTCTTCTCAACTAAATCCCCCAATTACATTCATCTCCCCACATTTTCATCCCCAACTCTACGCCCTACCCGCTCTGTGATCGGGTAAATCAACGAGGTATCGATGCATTGCTTCAAATATTGTGATCTTTGAACTATGTTGGGTTGGAATAACGAAGAGTGCATAAATAATAATATTGGCGGTTGTTGGCTGTTTGGCCTTGCTTATATTATGGTTGAACCATGCCAACTTGAATAAAATAGTTAAATCGACTTTTTCCTCACAGGTCTCGCAAATTGTAAGAAGTTCAAGTTTACGTTTGTTGAAGAGTCCAATACTGTACCTTCATAATGACCTTCCTCCATGATTCAGAGTATGTAATTTTATGGTAACACACTCAACATTTCTATTGCAAATGCCACCTTCACGTTTTATTCCATTATGATTTATTGTCACATTAACAAACGCGACTGCCTCACAAAATGCAACAGACCAACGGGAAAGTTTACAGACAGTTATACATGCCATGGTACATAATTATCATAGGCGCGGTGTCAATCGGTGGGGGACGGGGGACCCCCACCCCAACATTTAAAAGCGGGCACTGAATATCGTTTGGTTCCCTACCCCCACTTTTTCTTCCCCGAATAAAAATTGTAGCCTACTATAATATTCTTTTGCTCAGAACAGCTGATTCAATGACTCCAAACTCGAAAATGATGTTTAAAAGATGATCTTTTGTTTTACTATATCATACGTGGTCAGAAATTGCCTCAGATCGCGTCACCGTAAATTGCTTTTCTATAGCTACATGTCTTCTCAACTAAATCCCCCATTTACAGTTAACTCCCCACACTTTCAACCCCAACACAAATACGCCCTACCCGATCTATGATCAGGTAAATCAGCTTGTTGGTCATATTGGACAAATTTAAATATTGTTGTTGGTTAAAATTGTAACCAACTTTTTTTAACCAACCAATTTTTTAATACATGTTTTGAGGGTGTAAGACTGAAACTCGCTCCATAAGATGACGCCACTGTTCTGCTCATGAATATGAAAATTTATCTCGCCACTGATCTATTTTAATAGGCCGCACCTATACGCACCGCCGCGCCTACGCACCGACATGCAGAGACTTTAAGCCCCTGTCACACTTTTGCGTATCCCAATTCCTTATGAGTTCCTTATCAACAATTTTCAATACGCAGCCGTACGATCAAAAACGTCGAAATTTTTTTTTTGACATATGTGCGACGCACATCTAGCGAACAAGTAACGAATTCAGCGCATCCACTGCGTATGAGATGCGTATGAGTTGCGTATGCAGTGCGCAAGTTCGCCATCTGTGCGTTTCTCATAAGTTACGAATAAGTACAATGCGCTGCCCGCTCGCAGAACGAGCGGTACTAATTCGTGCAATACGTCGCTATGTATACGTCCAATATAGGAGGTCAGCGTATTGCCGCGTATGAACGGCTTATCCCTCACGAACACATTGCGTACTCGTACCGCGCTCGACCGATGCGGGACCGGTGCGCTGCTTATTTATAACTTATGACCTGCGTAACAGCGTACGCAGCGTAGTTTTGTGCATGCCCAAAACTATCCAGCGTACTGGGCCGTACCATGCGTATGCCTGCGTACATAAAACTTACATAAAACGATAGAGATGGATATGAGGTGCGTATTGTGCGTACGACTGCGTATGAAAAAAGTCAATGCGCAACTCATAAGGAATTAGGATACGCAGAAGTGTGACAGGGCCCTTAGAAAGGCGATACGAATATAAGGGGGGGGGGGCGGGGGCTAGGGGGGCTTTAGCTCCCCCAAAATTTTGTCTAGCCCCCAAAATAAATTGCGTAAAAAGAAATTGCTTTTGCAAAAAGAAGGATTGTGATGAAGTGCGAACGGTCTCCTCCTAAAGAAATAGTAGTGACAAGGGTGCATTTGTAGTCAATATAGTTTGAATGATTTGAGGATATTATTGGCGCTCCCCATTGAAAATATGGCATGACCCCCCCCCCCCCCCCCCCCCCCCCCCCATTGATTTTCGGAGGCCTAAGTGTCTGGGGAAAATAACCGGTCTACATTTCAGCACGCCTCTCTGAAAAAATTCTGGATCCACCTTGCTAGCCCCCCCCCCCAAAAAAAATATTGGTTCTAGAACCGCGCCTGGCATGGTGCTCTAAAAGGTTGCGCCTCAGGGATCAAGTCTTTCAAGCGTTCAGTCGTGACTACCTTTTCCTTTATCGTGTAACTTGATTGATTCAGGGTCAGTTTTCTGATCAGGGTTTCTGTGTTAAAGGTAAACCAGTGCAAACAACAAGGGCAAACAACAAGCGTAATATTAATGCCTGCCATATACATGTACTGGCATGGCTGGCCAGCAATTGCGATATCAACATGGGGACCAGTAGGCAGGGAATTTCGAAGCGAGGGCGTGGGCGGCTGAACACCGCCCGATTGCTAGTCATCTACATTGCGCAATTTTCGTGAAAAGTGTAGTGCACAAGAAATATCTCATAGCTATAACACCATTTGCAAATGTATGACAGGTACTGATAGGGTTACAGTAATATGCACTTGTATAAATTATTCCCCCCAAAACTGTGGCGGTTGCACTCAGAAACGAATCCAACTTAATGACATTTGATCGGCTTTAAATGTACGGTTGATATGACATGCTTGAATACAGGACGCATGAGGTATGCTAATTGCTTGGAGTTTGCCGGATAGCTAGCGCCGTCTTCCCGAAACTGGATTTGATTCGTATTGTTAACAGAGTAACCTCTACCGGTGCGGTAGCTTTGCCACGCTTGTCAGGATCTGGCTGTGTAATATAAGAAACACAGCCAGTCTTGAACCGAGACTATATAAAACGGGACTTACCTTCTCCAGATGAAGAGTTTAAGACGAATTAACTGATTTGCAGAGACAGTGCTGTTGAGAACCGTTGACGTAGGCGTTCGAATTGGTAGTCTCTTTATAATTGGGAAAGTTGTAACTTTTATTGCGCAGCAATCGAAGTCACTCTCGACTTACTCCTTTGTGTTATCAACGTAACTGCGCACGTCGCATGACGAAATATGCCACAATAAAGTCTGTGTTTAGTAAACTAATGCAAGTAGCAGCTCAATGATCTGGGTATACCGCCTCTCTGTCCGAGGGAATAATCCATTATGAACACAAATTTGTATCCTTGTGGAGACACGCACACAATAGGGAACAAAACATTGTAATGGTCTCCACAAGGTAATTTCTATAGATGAATAGGTTTCCACAAGGATTCTACGAAATAGATATATGGGTTTTACTCAAAAACTAGGATTTTCCAAGGTGGGTTGATCCGTTGCAAATGGAAGAGTTTTTAGAAAAGGGATATCAAGTCCAAATTTCAGCCAAGGAAACTAATTCTGGTTAAAATAAGAGCATTTTGAAACTTCACTTTCAAAATTGAAAAACTTTACTACACGAGTACAAAGAAATGTCTCCACAAGGATACAAATTTTAGAATATGTGTTTACGTGTGTGCTTTCCCATGGTGCTCTGTGTACCGTGGACCCCCACTGCAGGGGCGGATGCAGGAATTGTTGCAGGGGGGGGGGGTGGTTCATCAGCCAAAAAATCTGAATTGCAGACTTTTTTTCTCCTTGTAGTTGTTGTGGTTGTTGTTTTTTTTTTCTTTTCTTTTTTTTGGTATTTTTTTTTTTTTGGGGGGGGGGGGGGGGGGGAATGGCCCCCGTTGGCCCCCTGGATCCGCCCTTGACAATCGGTGGGGACAGGGGGGGGGGGGAAGCTTATACATATCGTATCGTTTACCCCCCCCCCCCCACCTCCGAAAAGAAACTGTAGCATAAAAATTATGATGCTATTACATTAGAGTATAGCTGATTCAATGACTCCAAACTCGAAAATTGTATTTAAATGGTAATCTTCTGCTAAAATAAACTGATTAAATTGGTCAGAAATTACCTCTGATTGCACCTGCACAAAGCGTCTAGAATCCAAACATTTTAAGCGGCCCCGAACCCCACGCCGTTAGAGGACTTCGTGCTTCGCGCTCGTTTTAGTTCCGATCAAGGTATGTCCCCCTGAAAGAAACTCACATTTGAGAAGTGATTGACGCCCTTGTCTGCTATTAACATTCCAAAATGTTGACATCAAACGTTTATCAGGCATTTCAATAACAAACTGTGCAAGATTGTACAAAAACGGTTTGCGTATAACATATTTTAATTCCAATTCAACCACAAATGCCAAATGCAGGTTTACGCAATACCACCCGATTAATACTAAAACTTTAATAGCTGATACTGACAGTTAAAAGGAACTTCGGGGAAAAAGTAACTTTGGACCATTTTTGGATGATAGGGTTGGGGTTGGGGTAGGAGTTACGATTGATAGAGTTTGGGTTTATAGGATTAGGGCAAGGGTTAGGGCTAGGGTGAGGGCAGCGCTTTTACTTTTAAGGACATTTCCTCATTTTAAGGATTTGTTTTACTATGGAAGGAATTTCTAAGGAAATGGAAAAAAATTGGAAATTTTGAGGAAATCCCCTAAATCTAAAGAAATATTTAAATTTTGAGCAAATTCTACAACATTCTCCAGAAATAATATTTGGAGTTGCCCTTCACCGACGTATTTGTGTGTCACCTCCGGAGTGAAATTTGGGAAAAAGTCACTTGGGTGGGACTCGAACCCTCGACCACCAGCTCGTGTTTTGAGTCCCACCCGAGTGACTTTTTCCAACTTTCACTCCAGAGGTAACACACTGAGTACCGCGTCTAGACGTCGGTGAGGGGCAAATCCTAAATATTTAATTTATATCACCCCGACGCAAACTCCAGCTAATGAATACTCTCAAAAATGAGTCCATTTCAGTTTCACAAGAATGATTTGAAACAAGACTAGGCAGAGTAAAACTTGCTGCGCGTGCGCACAACTTGATTTCTTCAAAAGGGACCGGATATTTTGAGCATTGCACTGGAGATTAAGGAGACTTGGCTCTCAGGATGAGGCCATTTTTCATTTGGGTTGTGGGTGTACTAAGTAAGGGTCAGGGTTTGGGTAAGAGTTTTTAGGGATAGGGTATGATTATAAGTGGGGTCAGTCAAGACGTAAAGTTACAGTTATGATTGAGTAGCTTAAAAAAATAACGTGTAAAGAGTGAAAGCCATCAGAAATATTAATATATACTGCAGTTACAATATTAAGAATGAGTAAACTATGCAAACTAACTCAAAAGAATGCAGGGCAGGTGCGGTTCTATATAGGCTACCCAAATCTCAAAACATTAAATGTCCCCCTTTTTTTAGCGTATTTTACATTTTCTCATAATTATAGAAGAGACCGTTCCGAACCTGTTGTGTGGCCTGACAAATCGCAGTTTTTCTCGTAATTAATCCAAATTTTGAAACAATAAAATTCCTCTGTTTCGTGATAATCGCAAGAAACTCAAAGATTTTTTTGGACAATCTTCCACCCAAAATCAGATGATTTAAATTAGTTTTTTTTCTTTTTCCCCATCAGGAACCGCACCCTGCAGAATGTGCATACCCATCACCTTGACAAACGATACCCCATTCTCCTTATAAACAAACATCGAAAGTATTAAGCTGTCTTCTAAAACGTCAATATTTCGTTTGAATCATTGTAGGCCTATCCGTGACTCGAGTTCAAAGAGTAGAAAGCGTCGGTTGAGCGCGTGGCGCCCGTTGGGTTGGTTTCCGGTCTCCGGGTTGGTGTGGGGCGCACTACTTGTCGACGACGCAGTATCCACTCCCTGTGGTGCCGACACCTCGCACAGCGCAGCGCCAACCTGAAGGGCACGGGCTGTTGTTGGAGCAAGTTCTTCCCCCGCGCCCTGAAATCAATGCAATGAATAGCGGGAAATGTCGTTGGTAGATTAGACCATCTTACACGCGGAAATTCACGAGCTATATCGTGAACATTTCCGAGTATCCGGGAAAAGCCGGACATTTTCGGAAAGGGACAGCTACTTCCTATACCCGTAATGGCCACGTGCTCCATGGCGCCTTTACCCGCAGGGCCATTTCTGAAACTATGGCTGTGGTCTCCATCCATCTCCAGCTTGAGATATACCGTTCGATAATAGAGCTGGAAAACTGAAACTAGAGTTGGAAACGAACACGAAGCCAAGGCTTGTCAAACCCTTTTGGCCTATGATTTGTCAAAATAGACTGACATCTTTTGGTCTGGAAACCAGGGTACAAAATGCTCTTACGATGCACTACGGAAATGGCCCAAACGGATCTGTGACCGGATGAGATCGGAGACAGATGAGATCCCATGTTTTTATGAAAACATTTTCTCCACATTAGGGGAGTGTCACGTAAACAAGCTCCAAATGATCTCGTAAGCTGCGGATCAACGCATTTGTTTTCATATGCATGCGTGACGTGATTGTGCCGTTTAATTTCTGGAAGGAGTGCAGTACAATTTAACATCAGGTTTTCGACCCTAGCATGCCTATAGTAACCGAATTTTCCAGTACTGTATAAATTGGTAAGCGACCCAGAGGGCCCAGGACTGACGGAGCACTTGATATTTATACCCAGGCCCGAGGGACAAGGTGATTTATAGCCATGCCAGGCATTTGCTAACGTTTGTTACTAACCAAAGAACCTACTAACCAACTAACAGAGAGAAACGACAATCCGTTAAGCTGCTGTTCCGAAGCTAAAAACAAGAGTTATATAGCGTTTTGTGCCACTTACGTTTCCCCAGGTATTGGTCCTCCAAGTATCGGTCCTCTAAATATTTGTCCAGGAGTTCGCGCAGTTCAATCAACTGGTCTTCAACATCTCTCTCTGGGAACCAAATCAACGAATTTAGACTGATAAATGATATTGCAATACTGAGTTCAAGGTTGAGACTCATATTACAGGATGTATCCCCAAAGGAAACTTATATGTAAAGTAAATTAAAAAAGATTTAATACATATTTTCAAATCATTTTAATCATGTAAAACTCCAATGTGTCATCTCAATGATAGACTGATTGCATGTCTGTGGCCAAGGATGACTGAGCATTCATTGTTATTCAGTGTTGTAGTATTCGTACTCGGTACCCGTACTCGAGTACTACGAGTACTTTTTTTGTTTTGTTTTTAGAATACTCGTACTCGTACTCGATTGTCAAAGTACTTGTACTCGAAATGACGGTACTCGTACTCGGGCAGCAAAGTTCTCGTACTCGACATGTCGAAATCACGGTACTCGATTATCAAGGTACTCGATCGTACTCGAAAAGCAGTACTCGAGGGCAAAAATGCTAGCTTGACTTACCACGGCCATTTTTATCGATACTTTTTTTTTAAATGGTTGCTTTCGAAGAAATCAAAATTTCCTGACTTTCTTTTGCGCACGTCCGGACAAACACATGTAACAGATATAGCCGTGAATGGTTCTGAATATCGGTCTTACTGGGCCAGTTACGCACACTAGTGACCAAATTGCCGTATGCGGACACATTGACCAATCATGTACGTGAACCGCCGAAGAGTTCCTCAAAATGGTCGTTCGATTAACTGTGGTGATTGGAACAAGGCCGTTTTCCGTTCTTATCCAAACGTTTAAAACGGTGACGGGCTCTCGACCAATATGGAATGGGTAAACTGTCTTAGGTATTTATAAATAAAATGGTAATAGCTAATTTCGTCGTTGAAATCCATACTTGCACGTAAGGAATGCGGGAAGTAACGCGATCAACACAATACGTACACATACCTTTACGAAGTGCCATGGCAAAGACGCAGCTCATGCACATCAACAGAACCAAACAGGTGTATGCCTTCATTGTTTGCGCTGATTTCTTAATGAGAATAAAAAGTTTTAAACAATCAGAGGATGGCATAAAATGTTGTATAAAATATAACATTTGATACAAGTTTTTTTTGGGGGTACACAAAACACTTTTTGTTGGTGGGTACACTTTTTGTTGGTGGGGGGGGGGGGGGGGGCCCCCAGCCCCCAGCCCCCCCCCCCCCCCCCCCCCAGTGGCTACACCACTGCCATTGGCTACCAGTTCAATTTATATAAACCAACACTAATAACGAAGTTGAAAACAAGTAACCTGAAATGTTTGAATGTGGCTGTTATTACCACCAGGCTGGATTATTGACCGCAAGTGGAAAGTTT